ATGGTGCAGTGACTTGGTGTTGCACCTCTTGTGCTGGCAGTTTGTACATTTGCACAGTGAACCAGAGCCTGGAGAGCAGCACCCATGGGCAGAGATCAAGTTCTGGTGGAGTTCAACCTGTGCTTGCACAAGTGGTGCTGTCTACTCTGGTACCTCTGAAAAGGCATCCCAGTGGCAAGTTTAGTTGGCTTGGAGATATTAAACACTTTTGAGCTGGTGCTGCTCTAGCATTTGCAGCAGGTCCTGCTACTGTCCTGAGTGTGGTTTCCGCCCTGGATGTGTTCAAGGAAAGGCTGGAGGTGGCACTTAGTGCCCTGGTCTGGCTGATGTGGTGGTGTCAGGTCAGGCTGGACTTGATGATCTTAAAGGTCTTTTCCAATCTTGGTGATTCAGTGATTCTCTGGAGTGGTGCTGAGGTGGGGCTGCCAGGTGGTAGCTGAATCCCAGTGCCCAGAAGGGCATCTAGCCATTCTAGTCATCTGTTGGTAATGGTCTGGCAGTGTGGTTGTCCCCTGCTCACATGACCAAAGAGGTGTTGGCTGAAGGATGTTGTGTAGGTGCGTTTTGGCATGTAGAGTTGACAAGTTGGAGCACTTGCATCTGACCTTCTAGGAAATGACTGTAGGTGGTTTTTAAAGTGCATAATAAGTTCCTGTCCAGGGCTGGAAGCATGGCAGCTGCAGGCTCAGGCTGCCCTTGGCAGTTTCCATGGCATGTGCCAGTGCTGGGGACTGATCAAGCTGAAAATAGTCTATGTCCCCAGACATCAGTATCTTGTCCTGGTGATCTTTTAGCAAGGTGGTTCCCTACTGCAGGTCCCTCCTGCAGCTGTGTGGGATGTGTCAGAAGGCAGTGTGAGGGCAGGGGTGAACAGTCAGGATAAGTTCCATTCTTGTGGCCATCAGCTTACTGCTCAGTTTGTGCTGGACTTGGTGTACTGGGGGAGCTGGTGTGCCTTCCTGAGCTCCTCCCCAGATGCATGCTGAGGGGAACCCCTTCCTAGGCTCCCTGGTTCTGTGGCACAGGCCTGGTTCTGAGCAGTGGAGCTCAGCATCTTTGGGCATAGAAATGCTTTTGGAAACAGATCTTCTCTGTTAACCCCTCCTTTTTAGTCCCTTCTTTGAACTGGAACTTTCAGCTGTTAATGTGGTAAATACTGCGGGGTGTGTGAGTACAGACACGTGTAAATATTGTCAGGTGTCAGACCCGTGGTGTTGCTGCGTGATGTCCCTGCTGGGAACACAGCTGGGATCCCAGAGGTGCTCAGAACCAGCTCTGATCCCATGGGAGGTGGTGAGGCAGCTGGGACACCTCTGGGTGCCCCGTGAGCATGGCCAGCCTCTGCTGTGGGCAGAGGGACTGTCTGGGGAAGCAAAGGAGCTGCCAGGAGACTCGTGCCTGCAGCAGCCCTTCCCATTCCTGTTATCAGTTTGGGTCAGGTTCATTTGATGCATCTCAGTTAATTATGCTAAAATTCCAGGGCTTGAGCCAGAACTGGTCATGTCCAATAGGCCCTGAAAGATAAAAACACTTGTGGTGTGCCCTGCTCTGAGCTCCTTGGGATGTACAGGCAGTGCAGTTTGGGATGGGAAGCAACAGGTACCTCTGTCTGCCCTGGCAGCCCCAGGGTGGTGAAAGGGTTCCTGCCAGAGAGAACTGGTTTCCTGTCTGTTGATGTGCTGGTGCCTACTTTGGGGATGGAAATGGTAAAGTTATTATCAGTCTGTGGTGTTTGATGAACATGGCCTGGGTCTGCAGGCCTGTGCAGATGCCCATAGCTTGGGACATGAACTGGAACAGTGACAGATGTTTGTGCGACCTAATGGGAGGACTCCTACTGGAGTGTGAATGGATGGGTCAAGCTCTTTAGGAGGGACAGGTGGGAAGCAGAGGTGGGGGCGTTGCCCTCTACACCAGTGACCAGCTGGAGTCCGTGGAGCTCCACCTGGAATGGATGAGGAACTAAGAGCTTATGGGTCAGGGCTAAAGGGAAGCCAGGGACAGGTGTTGTGGCAGTGGCAGTGCCACGAGCCACCAGGCCAGGCTGGCCAAGGGGATGGGGCAGCAGCTTCACCTCCACGGGCCCTGGTCCTCACGGGGGATTTCAGCCATGCTCCCTGCTGGAGGGAAAACACAGCAAGGCACCAGCAATCCAGGAAGTTCCTGGAATGCATCTATTGCTGTGCTGGACATTATTCTCACCAACAAGGATAGGCTGATGGCCAGTGTGAAGCTTAAGGATGGCCTTGGCTGCAGTGACCACAAAGTAGTGGAATTAAGGATCCTTAGAGAAGCAAGGAGGGTACAAAGCAAACTCACTACCCTGGATTTCAGGAGAGCAGACTTTGACTTCTTTAGGGATCTGCTTGGTAGGGTACCATGGAATAAGATCCATGGAGGGGAGAGAAGCCCAAGAATGCTGGGCAGTATTCAAGGGTCACCTCCTACAAACCCAGGAGCAATGTATCCCAACCAAGGGAAGGCAGACAAGAACGTCAGGAGACCTGTATGGATGAACAAGGAAGTCTTGGACACTCTTAAATGTAAAAAGGAAACCTACAGAGGGTGGAAGCAAGGACAGGTCACTTGGGAGGAGTACAAAGAAGTCTGAGCAGCCAGGGATCAGGTTAGGGAGGCTAAAGCCCACATTGGTGACAACCAACGTGGCTTACCAAGAGCAAATTGTGGCAAATCTGGTGGCCTTTTATGATAGGTCTCAGTGTTGGTGGACAAGTGGAGAGCAATTGACATCATCTACCTGGACCTGTGCAAAGCGTTTGACACTGTCCCACATGACATCCTGGTCTCTAAATTGGGAAGATACGAATTTCAAGGATAGACCACTTGGCACAGAGCTCTGCTCTGGAGACAGGCTGAGAGACTTGGGGTGTTCAGTGTGGAGAAGAGAAGGCTCTGAGGAGACCTTAGAGCACCTTCCAGTGCCTGAAGGGGCTCCAGGAAAGCTGGGGAGGGACTTGGGACAAGGGCAGGGAGGGATGGAATGAGGGGGAATGGATTAGAAATGCAGGGGTGTTGGGAGTAGATGCTCCTTAAGGTCCCTTCCAACTCAAACCATTTGCTGTTCTATGATGTATCCCTGACAGCAGGTTTTGGGGAGGTTATGTATGGTACTGGGCAGTGCAGTGGGAGGTAGGCCCTTGCAATGTGAGGTGCAAAACCTCACTGAGATCAGGGAATATGGGTTGGAGCAGGAAACCCAAGGGAATTATAGTCCCTGCAGTCATTTGAGCTGTACTAGGAGAACACAAACTGGGTTTGGGTCTGTATAGCTCACCTGTATTGTTGGTTGGTGACCTGGGAAGTGTACAGGGCTTTGCTGGTATCTGTCAACATCTGTATGCCAAGGGCTAGGAAAAGGGTGTGTGTGGAACAATGTGGTACGTGGGGCTTCAGTTTGAAGGACAAAACCCCTTTGCTGGAGACCAAGGACTGTAAGTTGGAGCAGGGAACCAAGGAGAGCCCTGCCAGAACTTCCCACCCCATTGGACTGTAGTGACTTACATGGGGGTGCTTGGGTTGTCACGGAGAATGTGGGAAAGGGACTACCCTGCTGACACAGCTCAGGAACATGCTCACCCACCGGACCCCCCTTTTAATATGTGAGGTCCAATTGAGGTAGACTGACCTGGTTGTCCATGATCCTGGTTGTCCATGATCCTGGAGCAGCAAAGCTGCCTACCCAGCCTGCAGGACCAAAGCAGAGCTGTGCTCCACCACCTGGACACCAAGGCAAGAGAAGGATCCCTGCAGGCACTGCAAGGTTACCCTGATCCTGCAGCTCCCAGGGCAGTGGGACTGGAGGGCTCAGTACACCACAGTCATCTTGGGTGGGAGCTGGTAGATGGACTGAGCTTCATGTTCCAGGAGGTAGAACGTGTGGTGGGGCAGTGCTGAGCAAGGAGAGTGGCTGTTGGGAGCCTCTCAGGCTGTGCTTGGAGTGGGTGGTGTCACGTGTGACAAAGCTCCTCTGCACACCCATGAAGGGACTCTGAGAAAACAGCAGGAGTGGAAGCCCTGGTCATACCCTGCTGGGCTACTCCAGGCCCATCCCAGAGGTCATCAGCCCATCCCAGATCCATCTGCACAAGCCCAGAACAGGGACACACAATGGTAGGTAGGACCACAAGCCAGGAACCCAGAGTGCCCTGTCCAGGCCTTTCCTGGGGTTGTCCCAGCAGAGCCTCAACCATGTTGTCCAGCCATGACACCCATCACTGAGCCTTGGGGAGCAGCTCTCCAAGTCACCTTTTGGGCTAAGGAGGCTGCTAGGATGCATTATGGGGTTCAGGGGAAAAGCAGTTTGGCATTGCACAGGACTTGATGGGATGTTTAGAGGAGGAACCAAAGGTGGGACAAGAAGAGGGTTTTGTTGTTTTGAGGAGGAACAATAACAGGGAATATAGGGGAAGGGGATAAAGGGAGTCAGCTGTGTTTAGGCAGGTGGCTGGTCTGTGTGCTTCTCTGGCCATGCCCTGCCCAGCACAGTCCTGTCAGGACATCTGCTGGAAGAGGACTTTGGCTCAGGGGCTTGTGTGCCCAGGGGGCAGGGCCTGGGCAGACCCCATGCCAAAGCACAGCTACAGCAGGATCCTCATACCACTAATGGTACAATTATCCACCCTGTTTCACTAATGGACTTCGATCCTGTCAAGCCAGAGTCAGGAGCAGGATGAGACATTTGCTGCTGTCCATGTCCATGTGGGTGCTCCGGTGTGACCTGTGTGCCCAGCCATGTGTTTGTACAAGCGTGGACGTGTGCTCAGTGTGCCTGCTGGGGACACATCTCCAGCCTCCCTGTAGTTAGCTCTGGGGACATGCAGAAGCAGCAGCCTTGCCACTCTTGGGCTGTGACATCCAGATGATGTATTTTCTCAGAGGCCTGTCAGCTGGGTTTTTAAGGTACTTGACAAACATTTGTTCCTACCGTCAGCATCATCTAACAAACTTTATGGCTTCTTTCCATTTTTATAGGAAAAAAACACCACCCTGCTCCAGACACTGAAACTTGTCAACTGATGGGACAAAGAGCTGAGACACTTGCCTGTACTAGGACACTAAAACATAGGGTGTAGCCAAAGACAATTTTCCCAACGTGGAGGCTCACACCTGTCAAACCCTGTAGCATTCTGGGGAGGCTTTTCTATACCTCTTCTCCATTTCCAGCCTTTCACACATCATGGTATTCATTTTGATTTCTTCTGCAAGCTAGCTCTGGCTCTGCCTTCTGCTTCCCCTCATGCTTTGGTTTGGGTTACCCAGTGAAAGCTGCTGGCTGTAGATTGTTCCTGCATTTCTGCCTCCAGCTTCTACTTGGAGGCTCCTCTTGGATGGTGTGACTGACCTGCTTTTTCTTTCTCTTTTGCTGTATCTCTCTCTCCCCAATCTGTCTCTTGCATTCTCCGTTCTTCCCACCTCATTACTGCAGGTTCATCATGCCTAGTGGCATATAAAAAGACTCCACCTCCTGTCCCACCTCGGACCACATCAAAGCCGTTCATCTCTGTCACTGTGCAGAGCAGCACTGAGTCGGCACAGGACACCTACCTGGACAGCCAGGACCACAAGAGCGAGGTGACCAGCCAGTCAGGACTCAGCAATTCTTCAGACAGCTTGGACAGCACCAGGACACCCAGTGTGACGAGAGGAAGCATCGTGACTCCAGCACGAGAGACTCCAGAGTTACCCCAGAAAAATGCAACTTTGAAAAGTGATAAGGGGACTCTGACTAGTGAGGAGCCTAAAGTGGAGAATATCCCCAAAAGAAAGTTGTCGTCAATAGGAATACAAGTATGGAATAGTTTGTTCTCTTTTGTCCTAAGGAATGTCCTTATCCCATCCATTTAGCCTGTGCATTTTGTGTGACCAGGTGTGCGTCTGAACTCACCTAGAATAGCAAGAGAAACTAACTGCCTTGTCAGACTAATGTCCTGTGTTCCCAGGGGTAAAACACAGCAGAAGCTTTCCATAAGACACCATAAGAAAGGCCGAGTTCTTTTTAGTACAAAATTAAGATGTTTCATAAAGCAGTGGGACCATATTAACTGGGTGAGTCCCTCTGAAGAGGCCTCCTGCTGCCGAGCATCGGGCCTGTGCTCTGCACTGTGTGTTACTGAGCATCAAGCTGCTCCTTGTCCATCACAGGACAACTTTGTTCTGAAAGGTGGGCCCTTCTATTTGACATCCACGTAGTGAGGACTGCTGCAGTGCAAAATGGTCCCAGAGCTGTATGAGGGAGCAGTTCCTTGCTGTGCACCGTTCCCAGCAGGTGGCTGCTTCTCTTGCTGGAAGCATTTAACTCTGTGGAAATGGATGGAAACGAGCTGTTGATGATAGTCAAATGAGGACCCATTGAGTAGTGTAAACTTGCTTTATTCAGCAAAACCTAAGTCACCTGCCATTCTACACTCTTCTTGTGGGCAGACTTCCCAGGTGCAGATGGCTGACTGCTGGAAGCACTCATTCTGTGCCAAAGTGCTGGCTCCAGTGCTGCAGGCAGGGACTTGAGCACTTGGGCAAGTCCATGTCAGCTGCCACACACACAGTTGCTCCCTCAGGGCCATGCAGCCCTTCCCATCCTGGGGAACCTTCCCCAGGGGTGGGAGGCAGAGCCAAGTGCTCTTAGAGCAGATTCCTGGCAGGATGCAGTCTTGATGTTCACCTGGACCTGAGCTTTGTGCTTCTCCTTAGCCCACCCTCCAGTCAGCATGTGGTGTCAGCATGCTGTGTGTGTGTGCAGCACTCCTGGTCTACTAATGTGAATTCCAGCAGCAAGTTCTTGTGTCTGGTTTTGTCTGTATCTTTTCTGTTTAATAAGGTTGACTGCCTTCAGCCAGTGGCAAAAGAGGAGCCTCCTCCACCAGCCACGAAATTCCAGTCCATCGGGGTACAGGTAGAGGACGAGTGGCGGTAAGTGAAAGACACAAGTTTTGTAGTTTCCTTTCTTGTCAATTGCATTTCCCCCAGTTTCACTTAGACCTTTTTTCCCCTCCTTTTCAATATGAGTGGTGTTGAATGGGGGCCTGAGGAGAGCTCTCCCCTCAGCATGGCCGGGCTGCAAAAAACACTTGTTGTGTAAACAGGCAAATCAGTGGGAGTTTGAAATTAAAAACAAATAAATGAAAGTACAAGATGTAATGATAGATGCACGTCAGTCCTCTCGCCTGTACAGCCTGGTGCAGTAAGCAGGCAACCTTATAATTGTTTCTGTCTGAACGTGTGGTGTGTTTGTGTGTGAGGAGGGGCAGGGAGGGCAGGGGGAGCCTCATTTGCAGGCATCAGGAACAAACACCTTCCACTGCCAGGGTGCCAGGCTGGCCAGGTTGAGTTCTGCTATTTCATTTTTGCTTTTGATCTCTCTAGAAACAGCCAGCCTCACAGCATGTCCTCCAAACAGGACACAGACTCTGACACACAGGAACCTAATAACTCTACCTGTAAATCATCTGAGAGAAGCCTCGCTGAGTGCCCCCAACACAACAACTCCGTTGGTGTTGATGCCCCTACCAGGCAACCAGCCAAGCCCTCACAGATAAAGAGAAACCTCTCCTATGGAGAAAACAATGACCCAGCCCTGGAGACTTCCTCTCTCCCTCCTCCTGACCCTTGGCTTGAGACATCCTCCTCCACCTCCCCATCAGAGCCCACACAGCCAGGAGCCTGCCGGCGGGACGGGTACTGGTTTCTGAAGCTGCTGCAGGCAGAGACAGAGCGGTTAGAAGGCTGGTGCCGCCAGATGGACCAGGAGACCAAAGAGAACAATCTCTCTGAAGAAGGTAAGTGTTGTCAGCTTCTGGACACCTAGCAGCTCCTCCCTCCAGGAAGAGTTGTAACTAAGTATTGGATCAGGTTTTTGCAGTGAAGTAACCCACAGAGAGAACATGGAGATGAATGTGGGATAAGGAACATTTTTTCTTTGAAAGGGATAAAGCAGCTTCCTCTAGCAGAGGGGGTAAGAAAGAATCCTGTGATGCAGCATGTAAGACTTCCACAGGATGGTGCAGCTTCTGACCATTCAGAAATGATGAAAGATTTAATCAGATTGCTTCCAGGGAGGCTGTGGGATCTGTCTCCCTGCCTAACCCACTGTGCTCAAGCAGGCAGGTTTAGTTGGCAGTGGGGCAGAAGGAACATGACCTTTGATCTTGTTTGACCTGTGGAGTTGGTGGACTCGTCTTTACAGCAAAGAGGAGGTTTCTTCATGTGGGAAGGCTTCACTGAATTTTGCTAAATACACCAAAAGCATAAGCACAGAGAACAAAAGGCCACTTGATTTTATTGGGTTCAATCCCAACTGGGCTTGTTACATTATTTCCAAGAGTTGGCAAAACCTGTGCTGCTTGCAGTGAAAGTCAAGCCTGTGGTGCATACAGAGGGACAGCAGTGGGTGGCTAGGCTGCAGAGGGCAGGATCTTTGTTTTTTCATATCTGGGAAAGGTGAAATGATGGTGGAAGTGTTACAGCTCACAGTCACTGCTGGGCTTGGGGAGCTTATCTCTAATCCTATTGCACTAAGAAGCTGCACTGGCTGCCAAGCTGGACAGGCCGTGCCAGGGCTACCCCTGCCTCAGGGGATGCCCTTGTTTGGCCTGTGGCAAGAGTGCTCTGCCAAGAACAGACACCAAGACCAATGTAGCATTAGATCTGTGATGTCTAAGAGCAATCTCTGAGCAGATTCTGTAACTGGGAGCTTGGTGGGTATGCAGAGAGCCCAGTGTACACGTCTCACCAAGCTCTAGAAGCATTCAGAGCTGCCTCTGCAGGTGCAGCAGCAGAGCAGGGAGAAGGTGAATCGGTTCATCCCTGTTCATGGTGCAGCTCTATGTGCTGTGGGCCCCTCAGCCAGGCCTTTGGAAGGGAGCAGCCCATGCAGAATAATGCTGCCATGGTCAGAGGCTTCTTGAAAAACCCACTAAGAGCAGCATGAAGTCCTGCCCATTAAAAGCCCCTAGCCTGCCAGTGTTTTAATCCCTTCTGGTAAACAGAGGTTGGGGACTGTTCCGACCCTTGCTGCCTCCATCTCATATATGAGTGGAAGAGGAGGTTGAGATCTGCAAACAGGTGCCAGCACATCTGCTCACTGAGAGCAGCTAGTTCCTTGAGGATCTCTGAAACGCCTTTTCTCATGACTCAGGAGTGTTTCTTTGCTTCAGAAACACTCAAGTTCATTGCTGCATTTAATAGTCCGTTTAACTGAGATCTTCTTGTTTCTTTTCCTCCCCCATAGTCTTAGGAAAGGTCCTGAGTGCAGTGGGCAGTGCACAGTTACTAATGTCACAGAAGTTCCAGCAATTCCATGGCCTGTGTGAACAAAACTTGGTGAGTCTGCATCTGGTTCTTCCAGGTTTGAGAGGGGCATGTACCTGTTTCAACAGCACTACAGGAACATGGACAGATAAGAAAAGGCTGCTGTCAGTGTAGGCATGAGGCCAGCACAGCCTGCCCACCAGGCCATGCTGGCTGAATGCTGGTTAAACAGGCAGCTGCACAGGGGGATGCTGAGCACTTCAACTGGCTTCCCAGAAGACAGTTCCTGGGCTGTGCTCTACTCAGGGGGGCACTGCTTGAAATTCCTTTTGATGCTTATGTGAGCACAGGGGAATCTTCTTGAACTGCTGCTCAGGGTGTGCTGAATACACCAAGTCTCTCTGTGGGTCTGCACTGTCACTGGCTGCACTCCCATCTGTCCTGGGAACCACCTCTTGGTACTTCTTAAGGGCTTTTTTTTTTGCTTTTTTTTTTTTTTTTGAGGTGAACAGCTGAGGTTTTGCCAAAGTGGGGGGAATATTTGAAAAGTCTTCTGTTCTTCTCAAAGCATGCTTGCTTTGCATGTCAATTACCTGGATGGTAAAAGTGTCCCAACAGGATTGTCCCTCCTTGGTCACCAAGCTCTGATACTTGGGTCCCTTCAAATGTAAGGCAAGGGCTGCGAGCTGGACAGGGCTGATGTGGGTGGGAAGCTGTGTCTGCCCTCAAGCTTTACTGTGGAATGAGTTTTGCAAACTTCCTCAGAGTTGAATTCCCCTTTACTTGCAAAAGAAACCTTCAAGAAACTTGGCGGGGGTAGTGAAGCGCTGAGATCTGCTTGCTGATCTGGCTGCTCACGGCTGAGATGAGCAGTAGCACCACCAGCTGCCAGGCTTTCAGCAGAGCTTTGTGCTGAGGTCTCCTTTGTGCTAAGTTGCTCAGATCTGGTCCTGTGCTTTCCTGAGAAAATCCAGGCCTGTGATGGCAGTTCCCATGTCTCAGAACTGGGAATATTCTGTTTATGGAAGAAACTTCAGCTACTTAGAATTTTCCGACAGGCCCAAGGAAGGCTGGTGGTTTCAGATTGTTTTATGGGGGAATGTAGCAAAGTCATTTTGCCCATGGAAGCTCTATTGGCTTCTTGGGATTGCTGTACACTGACATGCAAGTTCTCCAGGTGTCAGAGCTGTGCTTTGCATCATGTTGGATCCATTTCCATTATTACCCACCCTGAAATCAGGATCTCTGTAAGAAACCAGCTGTGAATCATGTGCTGGGGACCTTTGGTTGGAGATTACTGCTGTGGGATTAGCTCTAGCTGGGGAAGCTTTGGGGGAATGGGAGCTATTGCTTTCTGCTCCGGAGAGTGTCTTTTGCAGGACCCTTCTTCAAGCTCCTACAGGAGAAGTTCAGTAAGGATCTTTGCTTCCAGTCTTTGCAAAAATAGTTTTGACTGTAAATGATGGCTTTGTGTTTCTGCATGCTTGGGGCTAGGGTCTCCTGTGGGTTCTTGATGTCTCAGTTGGCAGATACAAGGGGTGAATATGTGAGCTGTGCAGACTGCTCTGCCTCTCAGAAGGGAATATTCTCTCTGAAAGGTTTGTTGGGGTTTTTTTATGCTTTCCTTTCTAGAACCCTAATGCCAATCCCAGACCCACAGCCCAGGACCTAGCTGGGTTTTGGGATCTCCTGCAGTTGTCCATTGAAGACATCAGCATGAAGTTTGATGAGCTGTACCACCTGAAAGCTAATAGCTGGCAGTTGGCAGAGACACCGGAGCGAAAGGTGAGTGTGGGGCAGTTGGGAATGGCCAGAGCACCTGGCAGACATTTCAGGGATCTGAGGTCTATTCCTGTCTGCAAATGGAAGACTTCTAGGGCTTTTACCATCTTCCACTTGTGCAATGCAGCTTCAAAGCCTTGGAATGCACCAAAGAGCATTCCTCATGAGTAACAGTGGGAACAACTTTGTGCTGGGGAAAAAGTGTAACAATGGAGGGAGAGTGGAGCAGGGAGTGATGGTGAACACCTAGAGCAGTGGTTGCAGAGGCCTCTAGTGTTGCAAACACTGCATGAATAGGTTTTAACTATTCCTGGTGTCTATAAAAAACACCTGCTAGAACCTTTTGAAAATACAGCCCAGGTCATGTCCCTGGGCCAGACTGCCTGACATGAGGGTAGGAAGGACCGTGGCTCTGAGCAGGGCAGCATGTTTTCCAGTTCCAGATTTCAGATTTTCCAGATTTTCCAGATTTCCAGATTTTCCAGAGTTCAGTTTTCATGCTGCTTGTGCCACACTCGGACCTATAGATGGGCCATAGGCTGGAAACTCTAGTCCACTTCCCTGAAGGACACCTCTGTGCCACGAGATGCAAAATGGCACCTTTTTAGGAATGAAGGAAGCTGATTTTTCTGCAAGCCTGCTCAAGAACTGCTCCTTATTTCACTTGACCCTCCATCTCCTGGCTTAGTTCCCTGTGCCTTAGAGTCCGTACCAAGACAGGGAGCATTTTTAGGTAGGTGCATTTTTACTTTATGTTTGGGTTTTTCCTTACTGTCTCCCTAAAGGAAGAGAAGAAACCACCCCCTCCAGTGCCAAAGAAGCCAGCCAAGTCCAAATCCCAGCTGACCCGGGACAAAGCCTCCGATTCCGACAAGCAGCGCCAGGAAGCCCGCAAGCGCCTCATGGCGGCCAAACGAGCCGCCTCGGTGCGGCAGAACTCGGCCACCGAGAGCGCCGACAGCATCGAGATCTACGTCCCCGAGGCGCAGACCCGCCTGTGAGCCCAGGGAGGAGCTGCGTGGTTTTTATAAGTAATTAAAAAGGAGGAAAAAAAAAAAAAAAAGGTTCTCTCGAAACTAGTGTGGTTTATTCAGTCTAGAGACCATGAGCCATCCTGCAAAAAGGGCTCCCGAGTTGGCTTTTTTCTCTCAGCTTTAAGTAATGAAGATTTAAAAAAAAAAAAAAGAAAGAAAGAAAAGAAAAGAAAAAAATACCCCCTGGTTTTCTCCCTGGCTGTGGTGTTGGATGGACAGAACAGACTCCTGGAAACTCCAGCCCCTCAACTTGGAACTTCAGTCTTTTTACTTGTTCTATCCGATGAGAATTATTAGCTTGTTTACAAGAAGAGGACAAGAAAACATGAAGCCTTGAGCACTTGCCATGCTGTGTTCTTCCTCCTCCTCAGTTCTGTTTTTCCTTCTCATCCTTTTTTTTCCCCTCTGTCCGCTCCCTTTGTTCCACCTTTTGCATGGCTTTGGTTACTGTGTTAGGAACAACGTCTCTTCCACAGGGCTCTCAAGAACACCCGTTTGGCGTGTCCTGCTGTTGCACTCTGCTAGCGAGCAGCCCTTCCTGGTGGCTTTTTGTTTTCCTTTTGATGGGGATGTTGGGGTGGGGGGGAGGTGGGTGGGCAGGGAGAGGGAGGTGGGTTTGTGTTCCTCTGTTCTAATGAAGGATGACAGGGTCTGTGGAATGTCAGGCAGAGTCGTTGAAATGCAGCCCAGAAGGAAATGTGCAATAAACTGGCAAAGGGGGAAGGGGCAGTGTTTGGCTGATCCCAGGGGCTGTGCCCTGCTCCAGGCACAGGAGAGGAGCTGAAGGACCACAGAACAAATACAGGCACCAGCCACACATTCTTCACTTTGATTTTTCTCCTTAACAACATGTTTTGGTTTTTGTTGGGTTTGTTTTGTTTTGTTTTGTTTTTTGTTGAGAAAGAAGCTGCTACACTGGGGGGACCTGTTTCAAAGTGGGCTGGGGAAGGGGAGGGCTGGGGAGAGCAACAGGGTGTTTCAGGATGGGACGAGTGGGTTTTGTACAAAGAGGAAGGCACAGGTAGCTGGGTGGTAGGCTGCCTGCCTGTATGTATGTGTACATATGCACATATACACTTAGCAGTACCTGTACATTGAATTCATACACACGGATACATGCCCATGTGCACAGTGCAGCTGCTGTACGAAAAGCACCCGGGTGAGAATGGGCAGATGTACAGCATATATTTTTACATGTACTATATCTAGATGTGTGTAAAAGTGTGTGTAAAAATATATACCCTGCGTGTAATCAGATTACTATTTTTTCCTTTTCTCCCTGCTCTCTGGGTAGAGGAAGGATTGCTAAATATTTTTTAGCCCCTTTGTAGGTCTCCTTTTCAGTCTGACTCCTTGAAGCCAGAACTGCCACCACTGAATTATTTGCCACCCCTTCAGAATAAGCATTTGGTTCCATCCTGAGTGAACTTGTTGGGGATTTTTTTTTTTTGTGGGGTTGTTTTTTTTTTCCTTCACTTGTTTAAACAAGTTGGGAGATTTGTTTGCTACTTTCATGGGGGTGGGGGAAGAATCCCAAAGAAGTTTCAGCGAGGGTGTTGGTGATCCAGAAAGCAAAAAAATAAAAGTGAAATCTGAATGATGTCTGAGTGACCATTGTATATCCAGTGTTGTCCATGCATGGGTGCTCTTGAGGTGTCTGCCCACCTACTGTGAATCCTCAGCTGTGGAATTAGTTTCTTACCACAGCTGGGCCATAGTGTAACTCCAGTTCATTCCTGGTCTTCTCTCTGTGGGTAGAGATGCTGACTTGTTGGGCTGCACTGTCAGGGTTTTGGGGAAGATGGTAAAGATGCAGTTTTAGGGATCTCTAGCATTGAAATTGAACACAAGGGAAAGGTGGGGTTGGGGTTTGGTTCAGTTTTGTGTTGTTTTTTCTTTAAATGTACTCCTGAAGTGGCTGAGCCTGCTGCTGCGGCTTTGCTGGGGAAAGCTGTGGTTCCATGGCCTGTGGGCTCATCTGGCTGGGAGGTGAAATGTCCCCCGTGGGACAGTGCTGGGCTGAGGTGCCCGTTCCCGCGGCGCCGCGGGCAGGACGGGCTGCAGAGCCCCGGGCTCCAAGGGCCTGGGTCTGTCCCGGCCTGTCTCCCGCTCTGTGCCTCACACCTCAGAGGACAAACAGCAGCAAGGGCAGCTGGCTGACCTGCCCTGAAAACCCAGGCAATGAACAGATGCAGTCTGACTGTGCAGCTGCCTGGGAACTCTCTGTGCCTGTAACGGCGCAGGGTGCCAGAGCGGCTGCGGGGCTGGGCCGACCTGCCAGCAGGGTGGCCAAGGGGACCCAGGCACGTTCCACATCTTCATCAGTCACCTCCACAAGGGGACAGGGAACCTCGGCAGGTTCACTGATGCTACAAATGTGGGAGGGGTGGCTGAGACACCAGAGGGCTGTGACCTGGACAGGCTGGAGAGCTGGGCACGGAGGAACCTAATGCGGTTCAACAGAAATAAGTGTAGGGTCCTGAGCCTGGCGGGGGAATAACCCCAAGCACCAGTACAAGTTAGGGGTGGACCTGGTGGAAAGCAGTTCTGAGGAGAAGGATCTTGGAGTCCTGGTAGACAGCAAGCTAACCATGAGCCAGCAATGTGCCCTTGTGGCCAAGAAGGCCAATGATATCCTGGGGTGCCTTAGGAAGAGCATGATCATCAGATCGAGAGAGGTCATCCTCCCCCTCTTCTCTGCCCTGGTGAGGCCTCACCTGGTGCACTGTGTGCAGTTCTGGGCTCCCCAGTTCAAGAGAAACAGGGAACTGCTGGAGAGGGTCCAGAGGAGGGCAATGAAGACTGGGGGATTGGAGCATCTCTCTTAAAAGGGAAGGTTGAGAGAGCTGGGACTTTTTAGCCTGGAGAGAAGACTGAGAGGAGACCTTATCAATGTCTATAAATGTCTAAAGGTGGGTGTCAGGAGGGTGGGACCAGACTCTTCAGTGGTGCCCAGTGACAGGACAAGGGGCAAGGGGTGCAAGCTGGAACACAGGAGGCTCCATCTAAACACGAGGAATAACTTTGCTGTAAGGGTGATGAAGCACTGGAACAGGCTTCCACAGAGAGGCTGTGGAGTCTCCTTTGGGGATATTCAAAGCCCACCTGGATGCAATCCTGTGTAATGTGCTCCTGCCTTAGCAGGGGGTTGGACTAGATGATCTCTAGAGGTCCCTCTCAGCACTAATGATTCTGTGAGTGTGTGAAAGCATGTCTGGATGTGTGGCTGGGCCTCAGTTTCCCCCTCTGTGACAAAGGGATGGTTGTTCTTAGCTGTTTGTATGAGGCATTGCTGCCAGCCAGGCACCCAGGGCAGCATGCAGAGCCAAGCGGGTTCAATGGGTGACTTTAGCCACCCAAACTCCCTGATGGAGACCTCTGAACCACAGGCCATGCTGGGAAAGGCACTCATTATCCTGTGTCCCCTTCCAGCTGGTGTGAGAGCAGAGGGGGAGCACCAGCACTGTCCTGCTGCAGGAACCCTCCTGGGGCTGTGCCTTGCATTGGGGGCTCAGGGAGATTGCAGTAGGCCCATGGGTCTGGCTGGGGGCTGAGGACCATGGCTGCAGCACACCCTGCTCACCACTAGAGATGGGTGTCCTTCAAATTAGGAAAAAGCAAGAATGGGATCAAGCTGCTAAAGTGACCTGTTAGAGCAAAAGGGAAGACCACAGCTCCTTCAAAAGGGGCTTGAGTGCCTGTTTGCTTGCAGTGTTAGATGTCCTTTCTGCTTGGAGTTTTCTTTAGAAACAGTCAGGATTTCAGGTTTCATCAGACTTTGCTTTGATGAGGAACTTCTTGAACTGCCAGAAGATTAGGGCCCAGTGTTTGTCACCCGGCAGCTTGCTGCCTGCTGAAAGGGCTGTCCTTCCACCCCTGCTCATTTTTATCCTTTCCTTTCTCCTCTCAGGGCACTGTTGCTCCAGGCTAGAGAGTTAAGATCTACCCTCATGGGGGAAAAAACATCACTTTCTGGTAATCTGAATCCCAAACCAGCCTCCTGGGGGACAAAACAGGATCAGGTTTTCTTCTCTCTCCTTGGAGTTTTCCTGGTACTGGGGTTTTTCCCAGGGCCATCCAACAAGGGCAAAGCAACAGAGCAGCCCCTTTCCCAGCTCTGCAAGGGACCGCGGAGCTGGCACCGGGTGGGAGCACCGAGCCCGGGGGCTGCAGGGCAGCCCGGGCACCTCTGGGTTAAAAGCAAGGCAGGAGCTGAGCCTGGCGGGGGAATAACCCCAAGCACCAGTACAAGTTAGGGGTGGACCTGGTGGAAAGCAGTTCTGAGGAGAAGGATCTTGGAGTCCTGGTGGCCAAGAGGCTGAGCACGAGCCCCAAGGTGCCCGGGCAGCTGGGGAGGCCGGTGCCACCCAGGGAGCAGCAGGAGAGTGCCCAGGGTGGCTGCTCTGCCCTGGGGAGGCCACACCTGCCCAGCTTCACCCAGGTCTGGGCTCCCTGGTTGGTGAAGGACAAGGAGCCACTGGGAAGGGTCCAGCACAGGCCACAGAGATGCTGAGGGGAGCAGAGCAGCTGCCCTGGGAGACAGGCTGAGAGAGCTGGGGCTGCTCAGCCTGGAGGAGACTTGAGGGGGGTCTGGTCAGTGCTGATCAGTGTCTATGGGGGCATCAGGGCAAGGGGACCAGGGTCTTCAGCAGAGCCAGGACATGGGGCGATGGTTCAAGGTTAACATAAGGAAAAACACCTTTCCTGTGAGGGTGACAGAGCCCCGGGCCCTGCAGCAGCACCTGCCCCTGGGGCTGCGGGACCCGCGCTGCTGGGAGTGCTGAGCAGCCTGGGAACTGTGCCTGCGTGAGCGGGTATTAAACCAGGTGCGGGTGTGCAGGGGTAGGGGCTGTGTCCAGAAATACGTGTTTATACACATCTCAGTATCAATAATTGTAGATATAGCCAACATTCTATATGTGAGAAACGTTTGTGGCGCCAGTGAACAGGCCCACACGGATCCTTCAACGAAGCGGTTTGTTTACACTCTTGCAAGAACGGGTGACCTAAACAAGCAGGCGCCCCCATAGTGAGGTGAATAACGGGTTATATTCCCTATTCCCAAAGTTCCCTCCCCTGTATCCCCACTGGCTGGGCACTCCAGGGCTCACAGCCTCTCCCATGCTTCCAATGATCCTGT